GAGGCCCTAGGCACCTTGCCTAGGGTAACTCCCCCTAAGGACGCCTCTGCCCCTCCCCAAAGTCCTTCATCCAAACATACATATTTGACCCATGTAAACTTTTAAATTTCGATTTAAAATCAATCACACATGTATATTTAGATTTATTTGTTGCTTTTGCTAACATAACCTCTTGGTGACTCATTTTTGGCTAGTTACATGGGATATTACCTTTGATAAAAAAAATAACTGGGGGCGGTGGCACTTGTCTGGTGTTTGATTTCTTTTCAAATTTCCAAAAATTGTGGGTGTTAACTATTTGTTTGTGTAGAATTTAGTTCTTAGGCGATTTGGGATAAATAACGGATGCAGCTCTAGAAGAGAAACTCAAAGGCGCAACCCTGAGGACAGGGTACTAAAATCAAGTGAAGGTCGGTTCAGGAATGGCGTGCTCGATGTAAAAGGTCTGTTCAAACCATCTACGTCGACAGCTGTCCCTGATGAGAAAAAGTTTGCTCCTTACAAAGGTATGAAGAAAAAGGGGGGCAATAAGAACAAGGGCAAGAAGGGTGGCCGTGGAAAGCGCCACTAGATATGCTGTTATCGTTTCATAAGAGGCGTGGTTTGCAATTTTGCTATTCAGTGTATTCGAAATAGTCATTTAATGTCTTATTGTTAGCTGTTAAGATTTATAAACTATGTTGCACAGAGAACCAGAATTTGTACGTGAAATTCAAAAAGTGAGCTATCGTGCTTTACTATGAGTTATACAGAGTATCTATTTGCCTTTTGATACTAGTATTACTTTTTCATTAACTTGTAAGCAATTTATTTTGTAAGGGCTATTATAATGGTAATTTACTGCTTCATGTTGATAACTTGATGAAAATGGCTCCTCCTATTTTCACTAACATAAAGAGATCAAAATGGAAGCCTGCTCAAGAAAAATTGATAATGATTCATGATTTGAGTATTTGAGTGCATATGAGATGCAACTTTCTGTTTGTCATGAAAATTCAGAAGCTCTTTGCTTCCTCATCTAAATTAAGGACTGCATATTTTTCACACTCCATGCCCGAATGCTATCTTTGAGGGACGTGTTATTTGCCTATATGTATGGTTTTATATCTTCTTAATTTCTTCTTTGTTAAAACTTCAGTATGTTTTTTTTATCATGCTTCAGCTTAAAATGAGTGGCCAAGTGAGGTTATTGTCACGGAATATTATCAGATTCAAGGTCCAATTTAATCCCATTGAACAATGGGGACATGGGGTGTAAGCAGGCTAGGTGGGGTGGGGGAGGAGAAGAGAAAGCACAAAACCAAACCGGCAAACCCCACGATGTGGCCTTGTGTGTAGCTCTTATAGTTATGATTTATTTGTAAAGCATGCTAGAAGCATGTTTTTTTTTGGAACATTCTTCTAAACCTATTATATTATCTGCTCTTGTTAATGTTAACATATTTGATTGGGATGCGATTCGAACTGCGATCTTCCCTTTGGGAAATCATCAGTAATGTCATATATTTGCATATTAGAGCACGTTAGATATTAAATTGAATGATTTCTCCACTACAAGGAGTAGTTCAATTCTTCAATTATATCTTTTATAATTCAATTGTTCAATTATATTTTACCAAAATTAGTACTAATTAGTAATAGTGGTTTCAATAATTTAAAGGGAAAATGGAAACTAATAATCCAACCTTTTAGTGGTCTTCTTTTAATAATCCTACCTTTTCGTTATTCATGAATAATCCAACCTTTGCACCTCATCTTCATTCATTAATCTCTGGTCGGTTGATGACCTGCTATTCCAAGTTATTTTCTTATCTCTGCAAACCATTATATCATAAATCTCACATTTCACAAAGATAATATTTTGCAAAGATAAGAAAATAATTTGGAATAGCATGTCATCAATCGGTTAGGGACCAGTGAATGAAGATGAGGTCAAAGGTTAGATTATTCATGAATAACGAAAAGGTGGGATTATTAAAAGAAGACCGCTAAAAGGTTGGATTATTAGTTTCTATTTTCCCTAATTTAAATCAGTATCATTTAACAATTAAAATGAAATTTAATGCAAGCTAACTTTATAGTTACGCATATAATTAGTAACCGTGAATGATGAATAAAATTTATCATACATTATTGAAATGTACTAGTAATATCAAATTCATTATCTTCTACCATTTTCGTGTCATTTTATGTGTCTTCAATTATTAATATAACGATTCAAAAAATAAAATTCGTTGTAGTTATTTGAATATAATAAAGTAAAGAGAAATTACCCTAAATAGGACTAAAAACGTTTGTATATTCTCTAAATAGGACTGTCATGTTTTTATTCCCAAAATAGGACTAATTACTGTCATGTTTTGGCAGTACCAGACTTTAAAGATGACAGTATTTTCCTAACCTGACAGTAATTACTCCTATTTTGGGAATAAAAACATGACAGTCCTATTTTGGAATTTTCAAACTTATTTAGTCCTATTTCGGGAACTTTCCCTAAAGTAAAATGATGTGAATCACATTTTTTTCCAAAAAAGAAAATATAATACTTATATTGGACAATGCCAAAAGAAAAGAAGACATAAAATAGGATGTGAGTATTATTTTAACTAGACTTTCTCCTACTACTAATCCATAGGCGGACAATGTGTTCTTTCTCTTTCTTTTTTCTATCTCCCCTCTTCTTATTCACCCTTTTAAGAATTTTCTTTGTTGTGTTCTTACTAGTCCATTACTTTCACATAAAGATGCGGCTTTTAAGATTGCAATTTCATACCGAAGTGATAAGTCAATATTTAAACATATATATTACAATTTACAATTTACCACAGAAATGACAAGTCAGTGTTTTAACATATTTTTGTGCATGTTGAAATCATTTTTCATTGTATGATTGAATGGTGTCATCGGGAATGCATTTGTGATTTTATTTTTTAGCCACTACGTTATGAATGAAATACATATAGTGACATTGAATAATTGTAGGAAGAGTATCTAACATGGTAACCAGCTCATGCGAGCAATGTGGAATAAAAATATCTTGCACACATCTAAAAAATGTCAAAACATCTACAATTGAGAGGAATCAACTTTGAGCGTGTGATTCTGCCCACATTGTCACATTGAATATTAAAAAATTGTGATCATTTAAGTTGTCCACAGTCTCGGAGTGGAAAAGTCATAATTGAACTTTTTACCACAAAAACATGTCCAACCCAAAGTATACAAGGGTGCGAAAGTGGGGTTAAGGCACTCTTGGGGTGAGGATTCATCGGCATATTGACGAATGAGTGAGATGCAGTTGACTACGACAAAATGATAGAAAATGTGGGGATATGCAAAAGTAAAAACCTATTATTAAAGTAACATAACCTTTTTATTCGTACTTCAATTTTCATGATCTTTCATATAGCTTCAATATCGAATATAAAAGAATAAAAATAAAATTATGAAAACTCAACCATTGAATGTTTTTAGAGCAATTTTTTTATCATTAATTGCTAAAACTAGTCATTAATATCACAAAAAAATCATTAATTGCTAAAATTAGTCATTAATATTTTTTTGGGAATAAAGACTCGTGCCTAAAAAAAAGTATAGCAATTCGTTGGAATTTTGAAATATGATTATTCATACACACATCCTTTTTTTTTTAAATTACATGTTCTGAATTACGTTTGTTATAAAAAGAAGCTCTCTCACGGGCACACTGTTAGTTGTTGTAGCTTGAATTTCCAAAACTAAAGATTATAGAAAAGAGAGCCTTAGAGAAACATGGAAAGAAAATTCAAGCTTTATTGAATTCTTGCGTAGAGAGCTTATGATTTTTTATGCCTTCTTATGGGTACAATGAGCTCCTTATGTAGAAGATTTCCACAGTGGTACAATTATTACACGATAGAAATTAAATGATACATGAATAGTAAATATTTCATTATTGTTGTACATTTGTAAAGCAATAAATAGTAATCTCCACAATAGTTTGCCAAATGTCTCTTGACATGTTGTTTTGGGACTCCCACTTGATTTACATTGATAATATATTAATATGTGTCCTTTTGATGGCTCTCATCCTCCATTTGTTGGCTCCATCTCTCATGATAGATAACAAGTGTCAACTTTTCTTCCACATAATATCTTCATTTTTTTGGTGGCTCCATCTTTCTGCATCTCTTCTGAATAATATTCCTGACATAGGTCTTGATATGTCTTCTTTTCCCGTAAGAATTTTAAAGTGTATTATTGGTAATATGATTGTAATATGGACTTACTGTAGTATGAACTACAATGAGTCAGTTAATATGACTATTTTGGGCTAATCCAAATTTTGTAATATAGGTACCGATTTACATCAGACCTATTGTACCATAATATATCCCAAATTTTACATGCGGCTTTGAACCGATCAAAAAAAGTATAGCAATTCGTTGGAATTTTGAAATATGATCATACACACATCCCCTATTTTTAATTACAGAATTACGTCGTTATAAAAAAACAAACAATCTATAGGTACCCAAAATGTACCCCATTTTGTACCCACCCTCCTGAATTGCCTGTGTACACATGTCTGTGTACCCACCCTCCTGAATTGCCTGTGTACACATGTCTGTGTACACAGACGGTGTACAGATTGGGGTACAAAATGGGGTACCCAAGGAGCACTCTAAAAAAAAGCTCTCTCACGGACACACGGTTAGTTCTGTACCTTGAATTTCCAAAACTAACCTGTTCATTGACGTGGAAAGGGTGGAGATGCTCCTATACAGACTTCTCTTTCCGTTTCCTTCATGAATATGTAGATATCGCGAAGGGAAGAATAAAGCAGAAGAAATAGGGGGGAATTAAGGGAAGATAATTAGAAAGGAGGCAAGATCGATCTGAAGTATGGAAATGTATCGGTCCATTTTCGGATTGGGAATCATTGTCTCCGTACTTTGTATTTCAGCAACAGCCGGTGCCGCAGACGATGACGTTTCACACGCCTCCCCTAATGTGTCTGCTACCTGCAACAATCCATTCACATTGGTATTTCATTTTTCTCCCATTAATTTTCCACCGCCTTGAGTATTTCCTCATTTCGCACATGCGCCTCTCCGCGTTTGCATTTTGCGTGTGTGTATTTAAAGGTGCTTAATTTGGTAGATTAGGTTGTAGAGTTTGATGGAAGTATTCATATATTGATGTTTGACTTAACGAATTGAAAAAAAACTAGTGTTAATCTTGGAATAATTGATTTGGCTACTGCTGGATGGCTGCATTTCATATTCAAAGTTGTCACCTATGTTGATACTTGGCAGGAATTTTTAGCATTACTATTTTGGTCTTGCTCTCTATGTGTTTCTGCCTTGGGATATACAGCCATCGAGGCATTTGAGTGGTCTTCATTCAATGACATTGTACATTAATACATCAATAACACATTGATAGCGGAATGGGGGGATGATATAGCACATTTAATAATTCAAGAGGGCTTTTTTTCTCTTCTGGAGAGGTGGGTTGTGGTTTGCTTAATGTATATAGCTCATGTGTTTTGAAAATATAGCTTGACCTTATGTCAGTGAACTATTTCAAGAATTTGATAGCCTTATATCAAGAAACTTAAGCATAGATTTTCAGAGGTTTGTTTGAACACAGCCTATATAACTACATAAGTTGTTTTGAGCATGTTGAGAATCTTTTATATCTAAAGTCTAACGTATGACGGTATGGTGTTTATCCAAAATGATCCCTTATAGATTATTGATAATATAGTTCAGCTATGTGCCTTTTACACGTTTGAAAAATAGTGCATTATAGATTGCCCAACACTTCTGAGCTTATTTAAGGTGGTGACACATCAATTAACAAATGGTGGATTATGATTTTTTCAATTTCTCACAATCATAAGCTCTACTATACTGGACATCAGGTAAGAATAAGTCACTTGACTGCTAGAAGCTTGGAGCTCGGTTTTGAAACGGTGACGTAGTTATGGGTCCAAACTGGACTGGGCTGGTACAAATTGTTTTTGGGAAATTTTAACATATAATTTTTTACACTAATATTTAAAGCATTTTTTTTTTTTTAATTTGGGGTGGGCGAGGGACTAGCATGGATCCAGCTCCGCCCATTTATGAATGTTCCTTTGACCTTTGGAATTGTCAAATTAACAATATTAGTAACCCATGTTCCATTGACCTTTGGATTTGGAAATCCATAATATGAGAAAAGATATGAGTTAATATGACTGTTACATTGTACTTCGGAAATGCAGAGTGATAATTAGAAAAGTTATGAGTTAATAGAGAAGATGGAGGTTCGATATCATTTTCAATATCCACGGACCATGGGAGTCAGGATGCTTTAAGAGGAGGAGAAGGATCAGTCTGGACCTGTCAGATTTCAGAAAGCTACATAATTTTTAACCATAATACAGTTATTATGAATGAAATAATTTGTCTTTCATTGTAAGATTCTCCTTTCCTGGAGGGACTTCCACTGGATGGTGGAAGGGTTAATGAATTAATGAAGCAAAAAAGTGCTATTGGTATACTTAGCAGAAAACATATTTTTTTTCTTCTGACCCCATCTTTCATTCAGGTTAAAATCAAGACATGGTTGAATGGCGCAGAAGGGGAAGAAATAGGGGGACTTAGTGCAGCATTTGGTACACTTTTACCTACGGAGGAAAAAAAGGGTGTCAAATTGCGTGCTTCTTACACAAACCCTTTGAATTGCTGTTCCAGTATCTCTCCGAAAGTATGCTTACACTAATCTAGAAATGTTATTTCAGTTATCTAAAACATAGAGTTTGGTTTTGTTGCTTCTATTTTGTTCAAGTAGTTACTATGAAGTGTTTGTTAATTACAAAGGTGTTTATCATAGAAAGGGATTGCTCAATTAGAAAAAGCAGTTTAACAGTCATTTGGGGGGAGATGCTGTACACATTTCAGCATGGGGTTTAGTGGGAGTACCTTAACATCATGCTATGGTTTGCATTCAAAACTTGATAGGGTACAAAGGAGATAACATGAGGGAATGGGTATCAGTAATATGAGCACCTGTCACATCAGGTTGTTGATATAATGATATGGAACTAATAAAAGTTGGGAGGTTATGAGGCATAGTTACCTTTTTGGAGTTGTCATCCACTCATCCTATGTTTTTGAGGTCAGGTGATGATAGGCAAAAAAAGGTTTGCGATAGGTGTACAATCAGTTTGGATAGAAGGACATAACAATTAACAAGGGCCATCATGGGTGAAATGCAGGCCTATAAATCAGACAGGAGAACTTTGGCAGTTCGAACCTGATGTGGATTATTAAAAAGAATAAGAGAGATGATAATGATATAATATATGCAAGTTTATCCAAGTTTGGCAGTTGGACTCTGATTTGGATTATAAAAAAAGAAAAGGAGAGATGATAATGGTAGAATATATGCAAATTTGTGTGTTCGTAGTTTATTATGTACTATGTACAAATTTGGTGTCTTGGGTGATATCCTTATTATATGCAAGTTTATTATCACCCATATTTGAAATTCAAGGATAGATGGTTTCGTATAGCAAATATATACTTAAAAGGGGAAAATAACTTTGCACAATACTACCTCTGTCCCATTTTATGTGACTTGTTTTGGTTTGACACAATTATTAATAAGTGATTGAAAAAGTAAAACATGTGGTTGAGATTTGACTCATTTGAGTATAATAAAGTGAAATGTTGTGAACCACATATTTCTTTCCAAAAAGGAAATATGATACTTATTTTGGGACAACTTTAATAGGAAAGTAAGACATGTAAAATGGGACGGAGGGAGTATCAGCCATCACCCATAAACCAAGAATTGTACACACATTGGACATAATATTCAATAATATTAATTATTTGAATATGTAACAAATGTGATATAGAGCTATTTTCCACTAGAAATTTAGTCATTTAACAATTATAACTCATCATAAACTCTTATCAAAATATTGAGTAAGAAACCTCATTTCAAAATAAAGAAATTGTCGAATAGGAGTAAAAACGCTTGTGAATTCCAAAATATAAAGTCATATTTTTATTTTCTAAATAGTACTTCCTCCGTTCTTTTTTAATTGTAACGTTCCACTTTTCACGTTTGCCAATGCCCAAGTTTGGGCATTAATATCTTTCATACCTTATTAGTAAAAAATTAAAAAATTCATATTTTAAAAAATTATAATGAGAGGAATTTAAGAATATTTTTAAAAGTTTAATTTATAATACGTTAATAAATAAAATATAGTCAAAGTAGAATATGTGAATAGTGCAAAAAGTCCAATGTTGCAAATAAAAGAGAACGGAAGTAGTAATAATTACTGCCATGTTTTGTTATTACCAGATTTTAAACATGAAAGTATTTTTCAAGTTTGGCAGTAATTACTCCTATTTAAGCAATAAAAATATGACAGTCCTATTTTGCAAGTCCAAAATGTTTCAAAATAACCATTTTTTGATAGTTTAATATCAGATTTTGATGTCTTAGAATCTCAAATGACTGGATTTTTAGTCGGAAAGTAGCTCCATATTATTTTTGTTATATATTGAAATAATTGGTATTATTAAAAATATTTCCAAAGTACGTATTATTAGTGGTTTATGGTTAATAGTTAATATTATATAATTCCCATTTTCTTGTAGAAGTAATTTCATGCTTATTTAAATATTGTCTCCTTGTTGGTCAACTTAGCCCTACTAATTTATCGTGCTATCAACTCAAAGAAATTTATGCATTTCTGTCACCTGCAACTTAGGGAGTGTTTGCAACATATTAAAAAATGTTTTTTTAGTTTTTTTGCTTAAAAAGGCAGAAATTGGTGTTTTCAAATGACAATTTCGGTTTACATTAAGCACTTCAAAGCTAAAGGCTGGATGCAGGTGGACGTGTGCTTTAAACTACTTTTCACTTTTTTGTATTACACAAAAACTCAAAAAGTACTTATTTTACCAAATAGTATAAAACCTTTACTTTTTCAAAATCACTTTTTCAAACACTAAAACTTTTACTATTAAGCCCTTTCTCTAAAAGCACATATAAATCACTTTTTAAAGAAGCAACCACAAACACTCCTTTATACCTGCATTTTGAATGGGGTTCATTGTAGTGACTATGAAGATGCTTTAGAGCTGTAATATGTAATGTATTGAAATGAACTCTACATCTTTGAATTATTTATGTAATCATGAATACAGAACAATATTCCTATGTGGTTGAGTCAGATACCTTGCTACTGGCCTCTGCACTCTCTAGAACATAGATATTTTGGAGATATAAGTTAATAACCAAAATTTAGACTTGGACTCAGAGTCAAGCTGATAATTTGTCTTACACTTTCTTGTCTCCAATAAACAAAATGTGAAATCAATTGAATCGTATTGATGTTAAGTTTTTATTGCCTGGACTTGGTCATTTGGCGATTTAAAGATCTATTGATGTCTTGTAGTTATCGGGTGCTATGGCATTAGCAATGCGTGGTGAATGTGATTTTTTAACAAAGGCTAAAGTTGCGCAAGGAGGAGGTGCTGAAGGCATTGTGATAATAAATGAGGATGAAGGTTTGAGTTTTTTTATTTGCTCAATGTTAAATTTGCTGAAATATTATACTCCTTACTTTCTCATTATACTGTGTGAAGTTCAATTGGGAAATAAGCTATTTCATTTCTTCCTCCAGCTCTAGTGGAGATGGGTTGTTCTGGAAATGAGGATGTCCAAATAAAAATACCAGTGGTGATGATATCTAAATCTGGAGGAGACATAATTCGAAAATACATGGATGCTGGAAACAAAGGTAAACAGTAGTTTCCCTGGAGATGGGTACCTTTTAAAGTTGTTATGTTACTCTTGGTATTTTTGTCCCTTTTGCTCTCATTTACTTGTTGAGGGGGTTAGAACCTCTTTTGCCCATTTGTGGATGAACGAATCCAAAAGGGAGGAACCCTTAAGAGACCGTGAACCTATAAGAAGTTGTTATGCTTGCCTGACTTGGATATTTCTGATCATAATATTTCAAGATCTGGTGTGATTTGAATTTTCTCTGGTCTGTTTTGATTTGATCTGAATCGTTTTGATTTGATCTAATCTGATTTTTTTATATAATTTGATATGAATGTTTCTAATCTGACATACAAATAACAACAACAATAATAACATATGAATAACAACACCAATGATAATAAATAACACCAATGATAATAAATAACATTAACAATTATAGTGTTAATCATCATCATATTGAGAATAACAATAATAGTGTTAATCATCATCATATTCAGAATAACAATAATAGTAATGATAATAATAATAGCCCGCTTGGTGACCATTTTTTTCCGCTTGTCTGTCTTATCAATCAAAATTTTCATTAAACACGTAACTTTTGATTTCGCAGACTGAATTGTGTAATAATCGGAATAAGTAAGGTTGCAGACTTGCAGAATTGGCTAAAGTTACTGTAAAAGACCATTTTAGCTATTTTTCACATAATTTTTTCTTTATTTTATTAATAAAATACCCCCCCAATCTGTTTTTATTAACCAAACTTGACTATTCAAGTCAATAATGTCTAATTTTGATCGATTATATATTTATATACAGAAGTATTGATAATATGAAAATGTCCATCGTCAAAAATATTATCATAAAAGTATTAATTTATTAAGCTTTGCATAAATATATCACTCCCTCAGTCCCATTTTGTAAGATATCTTTCCTATTAACTTTGTCAACACAAATCACTCTTAATCTCTTACTTTATATATCAAATTTTTATCAAATTTGATTCTAGTTTTTGCGACCTTGTAAAGCTTTTGATGTAGTTTCTGAATACGTATTCTTTTTATAAAAATAATTTGAGTGCGGACAAGGATCCGTTTGCTTTATCTTTGGTCAAACATCGTAAACCGTAAAGTATCTTACAATTCGGGATGGAGGGAGTAATAAAAATAATTGATCAAAATTTACCATCTTTGACGGGAAAAGTCAAAGATGGCTAACTAAAATGGGATGGAGGTAGTATATTTTAATATTTTTTCATAAATAAGTAAATAAACAGAATCAACCAATCCAACCACTTCGTCCAGAACTTCATAAATTACAGCAGAATCAGTCGATTCAGGTAATTCGAGTGTTACCAAATGGGTTCTAAAAGTAATAAATCATGTCTGAATTTTTTTTTTATCTCATCTAAATGTTTTCAGTCTGATCTGAATCTTTTTTTATTTGAATAAAATAAGAATAAGATGAACGAATAAGGTAGAGGAATGAATACCAATTGGAGGACCCTAGAGAGATCTTAAACATATAAATTTCATTTGTTATGTCTGCTTCGGTTTAGTTTGTGAAAGATTGGGGTATAATTTTGTACTAGACTATAATAGGCTAGTTCTTGGGAATTTTTCACAGTTCTTTTTAATTCTTTTGGTAGGAATGTGTTACAATCCCACACCGGTCAAGTATGGGCTTGACTGGTGGCTTATAAGCAAGGTGTTCCCTCCTCCTAATCGATTGGTCTTTTAGGAGTGAGTTCTACACATGGGCTTATGACACCGGTATGAGCCTGGTATGAGCCTAGTATGGGCTAGGTCCATAACAATTGGTATCAGAGCCGTCCCCATCTTCGTAGTCCCGACACTCGGAGTGGTGGCCTATGGAGTGGTGGGCCGGTGGCTTGGGCCCTGGGGGTGCCAACCGTGACCAACATAGCTGTGACCAACGAGGACGTTGGCTCTTCGAAGTGTGGGGTATTGTTACGATCCCACACAGGTCAAGTATGGGCTTGACCGGTGACTTATAAGCAAGGTGTTCCCTCCTAATCGGTTGGTCTTTTAGGAGTGAGTTCTAGACATGGGCTTATGACACTGGTATGAACCTAGTATGGGCTAGGTCCATAACAGAATGCAATGTTCAATTATCATGGTCACTACAAGTAATTTATATGATGCTCAATGCTCATGTACCTGATGTTTTTAATTTACTACGTAGTATGTAATATGTTACTCTGTATACTAGTGGATGGCATATGACTAGTATTTAGACGTGTTCTGTATCTGTAAGTGTGGACATGTGTAGCTAATTTTTGTGGGTACCAGTACTTACAAACATAAATCTTTAAGATAGTAACCCATTGTCTAATGTGACTAATCTAAACATTTTCATCGAATGATTCATAAAACTATTTTTCAATTTTTTCTTGCAGTGCACCTGCTTTTGTATGCGCCAGATCGCCCCATTTTGGATTACTCAGTGATATTCTTATGGTTGATGGCTGTTGGAACTGTTTTTTGTGCATCTATTTGGTCAAAATTTACTGCATCCAAGGCGATTGATGACTACCAACTATCTTCCAAGGTTCTACAAATAAATCAATTATTTGTGTCATTTTTATTGGGTTATTATCGTTGACCTCCTCAAGGTTTGTCGTATTATCATAATACGCTTGCACAAATAGGCACCTTGCACCCTATGATTTTATATTCTACACATAAGTACCCCTGCACATATGAAAATGTATGCATATAGACCCTAGAAAGTGTGTCACTTACCTCCCGTAGTCCCGTAAAGGAAGGCCAGTGCCTATTTATCATAGCGCATGGGTCTTTGTGATATTAAGTCAAATCTCAAGGAGGTCACAGCTAATGAACATTTTTTCCTTCCTGTGATCCTCAGAATGGTGTCTTCTGATATACTTGAATCTGTATGAGATTTTACAATCTACGCTCACAATTATTTTGGGTACCTTTAATATTTGGAATAATATCATTTTTTGTAGCTTAATAGTTGTTTTTAAGTTTTAACTGATGTATGTTTCCTTCACCATCTCTCAGTTCCAGATTTTGGTCAAATTGTTACTTTTGACTTTTTGAATCATTTAACTATGTGTTCCAGCCTGCTTGTTATTTGTCTGCATTTCACAAGAGCAGCCTACTCTTGTGATGGTTATTCTGAAGGATATGAAATAAGAATGAGCCAGAGCTGAATCCGTTTTTTTGGAGAGTCGATGAGAACCTTTTCCAGCATAAACTTTTTTTAAAGACCAAAAAGTGTTAGAGTGATGTGCTAAAGCTAGCATCTTAAAGTACTGTTTGATAGATTCATAGATCATAGATGATGTTCTTCTGAACCTAGCCGATCTAGGTGTAATTGTGTAAATGGTTGTGGACTTGGGGAGCCCATGAGTGGATGTGTATTCTGTAACACACTTTTACTTTGTGCAGTCAGAGGAGGAATGACATTGTGTATTTGGGAATTTTGTCCATAAGGTTGCTTTGAGAATAAGATATGCATGTCATGGGCTTTGAGTGGCTAGAAATATATTTTTTTAATAAAGGTCATCACACAGAAAAAAGAACAAAATGTGGAAGAAATCCAAGGAATATCATGTCTCTCCGAATCCCAATAATATACTTTATATCCTATTGAACTTGGGGTCTCCAGATACCAAATGAACCCAAGACCATAGTGTAACTCTGAGTTGAAGTAGTCCAATGTCGATCAATAGTTTTATCATAAAACTTTTATGCTGGCGTCAGTTGTCCTCTGATGCCCAATTTAGTTTTGGTATGTATGGCGTTGAAGAAGTGAAGTCTAAGTTGTTTCTTGAAATGTTTAGAAAGTTGCCTTGAAGCTCAATAAGCATCATTTTTTTGGCTGGGGGGAGGGAGTGTCCCTTGGAAAGACGTCTTTATGGTGCTCCTCTAGCATCGGGGGCCTGTGATTATTATCTCTCTTTACTAATATATGAACAAGGAAGTTCTAATAAGTATGGAGTATAAGACATGAAAGGGTTAAGTTCTATAAGTATCAATTAGGGGATATAATACATGGGTTTTAAATCATTTAGGGAACATGCTAGGTGGTTTTTGATCTTTTGCTTCACGAATTTCCCTAGTAAATAGCATAATTTGTCATGTGCCATTAAGTTATGAATGCTCTCTCTGTCAAGTGTGAACATGATCTTTTTTCCCCATCAATGATTATGTGTCAAAAGAGAATATTTGTAGTTGTACAATTATATGTCACTACGTAATGTAGCTGAAATATCTATGTTTTGTTAGTGCATCAAATGTCTCATGCATGTATATCACTACTTATGTTGATGATCTTTTTTTGCATGAATTATCTTTAGGAATCTGCAGGAGCAGCAAAAGATGAAGGTGATGAAATACTCAATATTAATGCAAAAAGTGCCATAGTCTTTGTCATTTCAGCCTCCACTTTTTTGGTGCTACTATATCTCTTCATGTCTTCTTGGTTTGTGTGGGTGCTGATAATACTTTTCTGCATCGGAGGAGTTGAGGTATTGATTCTTGCCTTTTTTAGATTCCAATACCAAGTGTAATTGTCTTTTTCGTTTATGACTAGCCTATAAAGAAACCCATCTGGTTTTCAAAGCATTGGAGGTTTTCCTCGCTTTAGTTTCTGTTTATTGATACTCTTATATAACGTCTAATAACTATAGTTTTCTTTCTCGAGTTTTTGCCAAGCTCGCAATGTACTAGGGTTAGTTCACCTTTATTTTTCACATAATATGATGTGCATATGCAATCATAATGAATTAAAAACAAAATAGCCAGTGTTACTTATTAACGTCTTTTCGGTCATGTTCCTCGCTGTAAAATTTGATATTTTAAACCCATTTGTTTGCAATGGACATGGCTATAGTAATTAACTCAACTTATCATGGTCTAATGAAATTTCTTATGGGATTGGAAAAACATATGATTATGATGGTGCTGAAACTTGAAACTTCATCTAACTATTCCTTCTAAAGAAAGTTGTGACCGCCTGACAGGAAGAGCATGAATTTACATGAATTTAAATGATTTTACATGAATTTACTTTGTTAATAATCTAGACAGTTAAGTGACACTATTATTTTCATGCCCCCACAACAAGGTCGGGATTGTGGTATAAGTGACGAGGATTAGGATTAATAATGTCGTAACGTCTTCAAAGAAACTCAAAAGAAAAACTTTTTACATGATTGGTTCATATGTAGTTCAAAAAACTATGGTTGTGTACATCATCCCATGATATTAACTATCTCAATGCATCACCATCTTATGATTTTTTAAGTTCAAGTGTAAGGTTGCACACGCAAGGTGCCCCTTGTCGAACATTGACTTACTCGACATGATGACTTTTTGACGTTTTGTTTTATTTGATTTTACACAATTATTGACACGTTAAACAATTTACCTACCCAATTTAGTACAACTTGGGATTAAGGTGGTGGTGATTATGATGATGGATGAAACGATGAGGTCATGAGACATAATCCTATATTCCTATGATACGTCATTACATAATTGCCAAAGTATTTCGATGACGCCATCTATAGATTTTTGTTGCATACAGATTTGAGTGGGGGAGGATAAGCAAACTTTTTTTCTTCGTTTTTAAAATATCATATTTAACATGTAATGGATTGACAAGTTTTTTACTACCTACTTTTCATCTCAGGGTATGCACAATTGTATAGTAACACTTATATCAAGGTAATTAGTATTGCTTTATTTTAACTTATTGCTTAAACTAAATATTTTGTTTTACGTACATAATGGTACCTTCTACAATTCAGATTCTCATTTGTTTATCTTAATGTCTTATGGGCAGTAAATGTAAAACTTGTGCAAGGAAGACGGTAAATTTGCCACTTCTGGGGGAAACATCCATTTTATCTCTTGCGGTGTTGTTACTTTGCTTGGCTTTTGCCATATTTTGGGCTGCAAACAGGAAAGAATCATACTCTTGGATTGGCCAAGATATTCTTGTAAGTTTGATTTTAAATTTAATTTTATCAGCTGCCTTAAATTGTTCTGCCTTTTTTGGTGATACAACCAGACCCATTATTCAAATAATCAAATCTTATTTTGAATTTATAATGGTCTGTGATATTTAGGCGATATGCATCTTTTAGTCCATGCATATACTTGTGTCAAATTATTGTACATCCCTGCATGACTTAATGCTTCTTTTGAAGTGCTTGTATGTATTACAGTTAAGTTAGGAGTAGTTTTCTTGTTTCCAGGGCATATGTCTAATGATAACCGTCCTGCAGATGGCTCAGTTACCCAATATAAAGGTACTTCATTATGTGCATAGAACTATATCTAATAAACTTTTCCCGTCCCAAAAAAGAGCCGTGTTTGAGTAAGGTACAACATATTTTCAATCAACTCAGTCAAGGCACAAGCTTTACAATATATAAATGGTCACTCATGCCCCTCAAACTTATTTTCATCATTGTTTGGAGTACTTGACTAGCCTGCCTGCTTCTTGGCTGTATAGGAATTTAAATTAAAAATGAAAGTTGACTTTTTGAAACCTAACTTTTTGTTTGGACGAAAAAAGCTCTTGAAACATTCTGCTCTTTTTTTGGACGAATTACCAATTATTCATTAAAGTGAGCATGTCTTTACCAATATTAAGGTACTTCATTATGTGGGTAGAAGTAAGTGTAGACCTATATGTAGTTTGCCATTTATCTGATAATTGAATTTGTTCTAGGTTGCTACGGTACTACTGTGTTCTGCATTCATGTACGACATTTTTTGGGTGTTCCTATCACCTCTAATATTCCACGACAGCGTTATGATTGCGGTAAGAATCGGTTTATTTAGTCATTTACTTTTGACATATTAGATAGATAAGCTTTTCATTATCAAAAGTTGTTAATAAAGTTAGGATTTTCATAGTTATTCAAGGCTTGAACCCATGACCTCTCGGTGATTCAGCAACACCTTAACAGGTGCCCCAAGGCTCCCCTTTATCTAAAAATAAATTTGTATTTTTATTTAATAAATTAAAGAAAATAATGTCTTGAGGGGAAGAGAGGAATGTCATTTACTTGCATTTTAGCCATTTCTCTAAAAAGGGTGCAGATTCTGCACCATCTTTTCAGCCTGCAGCCCTTCAAAATTAATTAAGTTTTTGGTTTGTATGAAATCTAGATACCATAACAACAACATGCAAGCCTTTATCCCAAAAGATTTAGGGGTCGGCTAACATGAATCGATCCATGATATCAGAGCCAAAGGAGAAGAAAGATAATAAAAATAAAAAGATAAGGTGAGATAAGATGACTGAGATAAAAATAACATAAGAACATAAGATAGATAAAAGATGGTATGAAATCTAGATAATAAAAAGAAAAAAAAAAGCTACCGTATGGGCACAAAGTCTAGTAAGTAAATTAAGGAGCAAAGTAGTAGTATCATGTGGTCTTGATCAAGTTTTTTTAATACCCCATCAAGGAATGCAAGTCTATAAGTCATCCTTGTCCTTATTTCTAGCTCTCAGCCTCTTATCATTAAAAAAAGAATCAAAACAGTTTCCTGTAACTTGCCCAACTCTTTCAATACTTCTAAACCTTAAGTCAACCATTATCATTTACATTGTTTTCCTGGTAAGAAAAAGAAAAATGTGATTGGGTCCAACAACTAGCAACTTGAATAAACTGTTACTCTCCCATTACTCGGCTCAATGGTTACCATCGAGGGTACCACTTAACGCCCAACAACCGAGAGATGATATTTAACAACTTTTTGTAGGTTGCTAAAGGTGACAAAAGTGGGGGAGAATCCATCCCAATGCTTCTAAGGGTACCTCGACTCTCAGATCCTTGGGATGGTTATGATATGATTGGGTTTGGAGACATTCTGTTCCCTGGCTTGCTAGTTTCTTTTGCTTTTAGGTATGCTCACTTTTATTTTCTTGTATTTTTACACTAAAAATTTTAGTTTTAAGAAAAGGGGGAACACACGCACATACTCATACCCGACTACTTGAGTAGTCCTCTTGGATTCTTTTGAAATATATCTTACCCCGAATGCATATGCAAATATGAAAAACATATAAAATGGATATGGGTGCATCTGTGCATGGCTTTGGAATATTGTTCACTGTTATAGTCTCCTTTATGTCACAATGTATGTATAAAACAAGAGTATTAAAATTCAAATATTAATGAACATGCATAATGCATCAATTGGACAAATTGCTTATTTATCGCAACACGCTTCATTGTGGCGTGGTTTATAAATTGTTAATGTTTTTGCAGGTTTGACAAAGCTAACCAAAAGGGTCTACTGAATGGATACTTCCCTTGGCTAATGGTTGGGTATGGAGTCGGTAGGTATTCTTGCTTAATGGTTTGTTTGGTTATATAGGTTTTAGTAAGAGAAAACATGCAAGGAGAGAAGTCTGAATACTCCAGTGCATCGTATTTGTATCTTTTTCTTCCTGTTCCATGGTCAAACCGTCAAACTAATATTGGATTGTTGCAGGCCTTTGCTTTACTTACCTAGGGTTGTATCTAATGAATGGGCATGGTCAACCTGCCCTTCTCTACCTTGTACCCTGCACATTGGGTATTGTACTTTCAAATCCATTGATTAATAATTTGATTATAAATTTTTGGGCAATAGTAAACATTCTGTTGCTCTATTTGATGTAGGAACTTGTGTCGTGCTGGGTATGATTAGAGGTGAAATGAGAAAACTTTGGACCTATGGCACTCAATCCACTGAGATGCCTGGAAGTGCCTGATATACTGTGTACTGTGTATACCAAAAGAAACAACTGAGTAGCTTTTGAAGGTTAAAGACCTCGGTATTTCCAACTATCTACTTGCTATTTTCGTTTAGTGTTCTCTTATGTTTTTAACTCCTCTTACTGTATATATTAGTAGTTGTGTACCATAAACGGAATATTTACTTTACATATTATGCTGTAATATATGTCTTATGTAGCACGTTGTAACACCCCTTCACATTTTGTTGGTTGTGTAATGAATTGCTTTACTTTTCCAGATTAAATTGGACTTTCTAATCTACGTCCCCTCTCTAGATAGATGTTCTAAGATGCGCTTAGTGGAGTGTTAAAAACCTTCAGAATTCCAGAACAATTTACAGAAAATTATCAAGAAAAACAACTGAAATTCTTTATTGAAGAAGATGAACAGTAATCGTACAAAGGCCGAAGCCCCCAAAGCCGAAGCCCCAAAAGATCGAGATGTTCAGTCTCGTATCCTTCCCAGTCCCAAGACCAAATGTCTAAAAGCCTCCTTATGCCTTCCTCCCCTTTTCTATTTATAGTATAAGCCCATCTTATTATTCTCTATAATAATAGGCCCAAAATAACAGGCCCATTAAACAGTAGCTATTCTTCTAGTATTCATATTAGAATTACTATCTATTATTACTCAAATAGGTAGGTCCCTATCAATACTCCCTCCATAAACATCCACCTTGCCCTCAAGGTGGGCGGTAGGAGGCAGCCAAGATCTTCCGTTTCTTCTTCTTCCTTGCTCCTCTTCCTTCCCAATAGCTAACCGGTTGATGGACTGAGGACTTCTGTACTATATCTTTTAAAATCACAGAACTTTCAGCAGTAAAAGAGATTTGAAATGAGGTTTCATTCGGCTCAGTCACTATCCAGCAGTCCCTTTCAGCTTCTTCCTCTTTCAATTCTTTGACTTCCTTATTTGAGAAAATAAGCCTCAAAGGTTTTGGCAGGTAAGTAAGGATACCCCTTATTCCAGTTGCAGTTCTCCTAACCGAGGAACATGAAAGATTATTTCCCATGTAAGATTTCCAAAATTGGCATCCTAGCAGGTGAGCAGATTCTTCACCAGAAGAAAACATTGCCATTTTCAAGCTTTGTTTCACCTTCTCCTTTTCATTAGCTTCATTATTTTGTTCCACATAACTTCCTGCCGTTTTCTCAATGATATAACCTGTACTTCTGAACTCTCCTGCCACCCGGTCCACCCCTAAGTTGGCAGGTGAGTCACAACTACTTGGACCCTTCTCACTCAGATGCACAATTGCAGAAGAAACAACTGGAGCATATTCTTGATGATCCTTCGAATTATAAGGAGCTGAAAGTCCCTCTTCAACCTGGTTTTTGAAAATTGCTTTAAACATACTAGAAGAGTGCATCCCAGTGGTCAATTTTGGATTGTACACTGCTGTTTCAGCCTCTCTACCATCCATAACCAGTCTTCCTCCACTCATAACATTCATCCCAGTTGGTGAACCTCTATGTGAAATCACTGCCCAATTGGAATAATGGTATATGTTTTCCCATAAAAAAGATGAACATGAATCTCTGGACCAATCCTCCTTTTACCCCGGCATGAGTTTTCAGAAAACATCACCTTTGCTGTCTAGGTTCTTGACTTTTGACAAGAACAGCTTTATCTTCTGCAACTTCCTTGATTTCATCTTTCTTATTCCTATGCATTATTACAGGTTCAGTTGGTTCCATCTTGTTTACAGGTTCAATTGAAACTGATGATTCAACCCGATTCAACTCAAGAGTTGGTGTCCTTAATGAAATTTTCCGCATCAAAGCTTGAACTGAATCGGAAATTTCTTCAGTCCAAACATCCTTTGGAGATGAGTATAAATCTGATTCCACATTTTCCATTCCTTCCGAATCTTCTGGTGGCCTGATACAAGTTGATGCCGATCTGACAGCCACAATTCCGGATTGCGAACTGGTAACTTCACATATGGATTGCTTCTTAAGTAAACTGGTAGTAGCAACTGAATCCTGTGAACTGAAGGATGATTTTGGCAATGACTTTTGCGAACTGGAAGAAGTTCTTGTTGATCTGGTTGACTCCTGTTTTGCTGTCTTCCCCGTCTTCTGCCGGTGTCTAGGTGGAAAATCCCTAATCACATCTTCTTTTAGAGCCTCCCAACTATCTTCTCTCTTTTGAAAATCCCACCATTGAAACCAGCCATCTGCTTCTTCGCCCATAGCCTTTGCTGCCACGTCCACTTTAAATCTTTCTGCAATAGCTTGGACTCGGAAATATCTTTCCATCCTCCCTATCCATTCGTATGCTTCATGTTCGTAGAATAGAGGTAATTCTTCCTTCTTTGAACTAGTCGAATTCCGAGAAGTAACTTTAGACGAAGAATGTGAACTGTGAGAATCCTTTAAGGAAGTCTGCGAACTCTGATGCGAAGAGCGATGATAAGAGTGATGCGAAGAGCGATGATAAGAGTGATGCGAAGAGCGATGATAAGAGTGATGCGAAGAGCGATGATAAGAATTCTGCGAAGAGCGATGCGGATGAGAATGGTCAGAATTCCCTTCCGACTCCCCTGAACCTACTGATTTTCGCGAGTGACTCGAGTGGTGATGGCTAGGCGAATGATGATGACGAGGTGAATGATGATGGCGAGGTGTGCGATGCGAGGAACGATGCGAAGAGTCCGAGCTTATCTTCACCAAGGTCGATGTTGAGGAACGATGCGATGAACGATGCAATGAGTCTGACTTATGCGGTCTGCTTCCCGATCAATTCCGCGTGTTTATCTCCAATTTCGGGATACTTATTTGTAACGCCGCAAAACTCGCCGCCATTTTAGTCTGGAACTCCCGCAGACTTCTTTCCATATTTGTTTGCACTTCGTTGATTCTCCCTTCCATATTTGCGCATGTCTATCTCTTCTAGCGATCAACTCGCTCTGATACCAATTGTTAAGAACCTCCAGAATTCCAGAACAATTTACAGAAAATTATCAAGAAAAACAACTGAAATTCTTTATTGAAGAAGATGAACAGTAATCGTACAAAGGCCGAAGCCCCCAAAGCCGAAGCCCCAAAAGATCGAGATGTTCAGTCTCGTATCCTTCCCAGTCCCAAGACCAAATGTCTAAAAGCCTCCTTATGCCTTCCTCCCCTTTTCTATTTATAGTATAAACCCATCTTATTATTCTCTATAATAATAGGCCCAAAATAACAGGCCCACTAAACAGTAGCTATTCTTCTAGTATTCATATTAGAATTATTATCTATTATTACTCAAATAGGTAGGTCCCTATCATGGAGCCAGTAGGTGGTGCGCTTATATGGAGACAGACAGACCATACCATAGATATGATTCATCCAGAGTAATGTATATCTATATGGTGTGTAACTAGAGGTTGCACTTTTCCAGTCCAAGTTCCACATTGGCCGTTTCCAGGTCTTGGTTATGCTGGAACCAAAACTGTAACCAGTTACACCTAGTCTGGTTTCTTGTCAGTTCTCATGTCAGTTCCAGAGCGGTTTTTTAGCCGGTTAAAAAAATACGGAACTGACTGGTATCAATTCTGTTCCGGGATTGGAAAACCGGCTCAGTCTTCAGCAGGTCCTGGCCCAGTGTAGAATAGGGACCATGCCCACCCCTATGTATAGGGGTCACTTTGGATGTGGAGGTTTAGGAAGGCTAAACCTATGGTGGACTTGGTGGTAATTCATTTGAGTATCTATTCTAGATTCCTTTGTTTAGGATTTATGTTTGCGAATTGCGATGGTTTGCATACTAATGGAACAAGCACCAGCCAAAGCAAAATGAGTTTGTATTTTATGTGTTGGTGTTTGATTATCGATTACAAACAAGCCATTTTAACTTTAGTGAAGCTTTTCCCAAACAAAAAAAGAACATGACAAATTCAATACGGGCTTATTAGCAGTTATTTGGTCCAATAATTTAAATACAGAAATCTGGCATACTTTTTGTCGATAGCGATAACTACTCAAAATTTTGGCTTGAATATCAGAGTCTAGGTATGCCCCTGGTGAACCCTTGAGATTTGGTTCTACACTTCTACTTGCCATCCTCCGGGGAATCACCCTAAGCGATAGGATAATGGAGTATGAATAGTGCAAGAGTTTTGAATAAACAGAGAGGTTTATAAGGATTAAGTTCATTCCACCGTAACTAACATTTTATAACTTGTTCAATTGTGCACTTTTTTGAGTTTGATAATCCGATTGAAATTTAATCACAAACAGAAAGGTCTTTGTCCAGTTATCTCTACTATTCACATATTCGTATGATCTGTACTATTCACATATTCGTTTTTAATTTTAGCCTTTTACTGATATACTACTTATAATAAATAATAATCATCTCTCTCTAATTATGTAAAATATCGTTAAGTGTGTCGCTATATATCTTATCAAATATACACTTCAGTAACACGTTGCTAGATATACAATGGTCCTAGACTCGCAGTACTTAGCAAATGAAAAGTTAAAACATACGGAGTAAAAGCTAAAAGAATAGGTTCGTTTACGAGTATATACCTCATATATAGTAAACGCAAAATCGCTTTCTACTTGCATTTTCCCTACATAGATATTTTAAAAAGCACAATCCACCGCCAAACTTCTTAACTCTGTCCGTATTGATGTCATTGTTTATCATCCCTTTGTCACATGTTAGGAGGAACACACTTTTTCAGTTTTCTAATCTAGGGCAATACTGGACGTATAACTGTAGAAGGTTGAACAAACGCACTCATTTCCTCGTCTTTGGAATATTTAGATCATATTTTGTGAAGCTCAAAATATCTTATTTGATCATAAAATCATTTGACTTTGCACTTTATTCTTTCATTAATTTCAGATCATAGAGTGCACACATTAATGATTTTGAAAATATAGTAATAAGTCCAATATTGCTTTTTCAAAAAAAAAAAGGTCCAATATTGCTAAAAACATGGTTTGCAAAATCAAATCCCACTATATAAAACTAGTATACCCCTTATCATCAACTTTGTTTGATCATTATTCCAGTTTTAGTCAAGTTTGCTGGCAGTCATGTTTAATGAAAATGAGCAAGCTATTTACAAGCTTTAAACAGAATTATTGGTCAGGTTTTGTGTTTATTTGTGGTCCTTCTAAGCCAATGGGCATGTTTGACATTCAACGGTTAGTGGTTAGCGGATTATGTTAGCAGGTTGACAATAGCGGATTCAATCGGCGGGTTTGACTAGCGGAATAAGTTGACGGGTTGTTAGAATATGTTTGGTAATTTAGTTGTTTGGCCATTTTTCACAGCGATGATCCAAAACTCTCCTATTTACAGCGTTTCCATTTTAGCGGTTCCGTTCAAAAACGGTAGTGCCGAATCGTTGTTTACCAAATAGTGTTTTCACTTATCGAAAACGTCAAAAATGGTCAAACCGTCATTTTTGGCTGAAACGTCATTTATCAAACACCCTCAGTATCTTGCTGCTATATAACTCATCTGTTTATTTATTTATTTATTTATTTATTTATTTATTTATTTATTTATTTATTTATTCATTCATTCATTCATTCATTCATTCATTCATTCATTCATTCATTCATTCATTCATTCATTCATTCATTCATTCATTCATTCATTCATTCATTCATTCATTCATTCATTCATTCATTCATTCATTCATTCATTCATTCATTCATTCATTCATTCATTCATTCATTCATTCATTCATTCATTCATTCATTCATTCATTCATTCATTCATTCATTCATTCATTCATTCATTCATTCATTCATTCATTCATTCATTCATTCATTCATTCATTCATTCATTCATTCATTCATTCATTCATTCATTCATTCATTCATTCATTCATTCATTCATTCATTCATTCATTCATTCATTCATTCATTCATTCATTCATTCATTCATTCATTCATTCATTCATTCATTCATTCATTCATTCATTCATTCATTCATTCATTCATTCATTCATTCATTCATTCATTCATTCATTCATTCATTCATTCATTCATTCATTCATTCATTCATTCATTCATTCATTCATTCATTCATTCATTCATTCATTCATTCATTCATTCATTCATTCATTCATTCATTCATTCATTCATTCATTCATTCATTCATTCATTCATTCATTCATTCATTCATTCATTCATTCATTCATTCATTCATTCATTCATTCATTCATTCATTCATTCATTCATTCATTCATTCATTCATTCATTCATTCATTCATTCATTCATTCATTCATTCATTCATTCATTCATTCATTCATTCATTCATTCATTCATTCATTCATTCATTCATTCATTCATTCATTCATTCATTCATTCATTCATTCATTCATTCATTCATGCATTCATGGTTTTATGGGGATGCATGTGAACACTTGATTAATAGCATGAAAATACTCGAGTAGATGGTAGATGGTAGATGAAGAGGTTAAAAAATAAAATATGAAATAGTAGATTAATAAGAAAGAAAATGAGAAAAATATGAAATATAATCAAGACACAAAAGAAGATGAAAAGTGCATCAAAAATCAATAGGAATAGAATTTTCTAAAAAAAAAGTCAATAGTAAAGAACGGGGATCTATTCATTTCTAAAAACATTATATTGGCTATCTATATAGGAGTTTTTTTTTTTTGAAAGAAAGGGGCTTAGATTAAAATCATAACATTCAGATAGGGGTTAAAATAAGAAATGCACTACAAGTAACCATCCGCCCTTGGGCTAGACTCTGAGTTAATCACCTTTGACAAAGCAATATATGACCAACGGGTCTAAGAACTCGGACCCGTTGCCTCTTCGTTTTTTGGGTCAAAGAGTCATTTTGTCCCCCCCCCCCCGTATCCTCGTGTAGCTTCTCCTTCCACCCCCTCTTGCGCTTCTGTTCTCCCGGAATCTCCATGTTCTTTGCCCCATCGATCATCATTGCACCCGCTTCATGACCTTCCTGCTCGTGGAGATTCAGCACTTCTCTCTTCTTAGGCTCCCCAGTTTGATTAGCATCTGGAACCATCTCTAAACTCTTAGCAGCTCCTTGCACCAGAAACATTGCTAAATCTTCTTTATTTGACCCAAACTCCAACTCCCCACCTTTATTCTCCAACCCCACACAATCTGCCAACTTCAAAATGTTCAGCCTCCTTTTTTCCCCTGCCACCGAACTCCCCTTCCCTCCTTCTCCCAAAACAACACTCCTGCCAACAACCCATATGTGCCCCACCTTATCCATTTCCCTTACAACCCTTTCCCCACCTTCCTGCTCAAAAAAACCTGCATAGCCCGAACCCCATCACCACCTTCATCCCCATCACTTTCCTTTTCTTTAGGAAATAACCACCGCCTACCAGACAAACACCATACGACCTAGACAGATCACTGCCCCGTTCCCCTACATGACCTGGACAAAAACGGTCAGAATGACCCAATCTGCCACAGATATAACAAAATGTGGGCAACCGCTCGTACCAGAATTCGATCCACACCCATTCCTTTCCTCTACGCAACTTCATCATTTGCTTCAGGGGATTTGCAATGTCCACTAAGACATGCACACGCATAAAAACTTTTACAGGGCCCTTATAATTATTTTCATCAACTGAAACAAAAATGCCCACATAATTGCCAATTAATTCAGCTACATACGACGTCATCAAGTTCAAAGGAATATTGTGTACCTGAATCATAAAAGTTGCTTGCGTGAGAGTACACTGATTTGAGCTCTCAAACGATCCCAGCCGCTTCGGAAGAAGTAGGTTACGATCAAACGACCAGGGGCCGTCATCCAACACCCTACAAAGGTCATATTTGTGATAGAACTGCACCAAAAATTTCTGTCCACCCAAGTCTCTCATGGAGACCCCTTTTCCTGGCCTCCAGGCGTTTGCCATCGTCTCCTTGAAGGCGGTAAATTTCACTGGACGGTCCGTAAGAATCCGGCCCACCAGTCGACGTATGAACACCCTTTGCCTCCGTCTCGCTTGCTTCTCCAACATCCACACCCTCCTCCTCTTCCTGAGCAAGATGCGATTTAAAATATAGATCCTCAAGTGAAGAAGATGAGCCCATCATACTTAAACGCTGCATACATAACGGTAGGAAGAAACAAAAAAACGGCACAACGCTGACGGCTAAACCCTAAGCTGCGGTAGGGGAGAAAACTGATGCACATGAGATATCGCTTGCCTTTTTCCACACCCAGGAGATTTGAAAACTCCTACGTATGCAATATTAATTTATTATTTGGGCAAACTGTCAAAATATGATGTGTTAAAAGTTAGAACAAGGTCCATACCATACATAACGACAACAAAAAATTTAAGGAGACCCATACGTCTCTCTTAGGCTGCCCGCAACCTTGTTCCGTCAATAAATCAAATTCCACATCTCTTTATACGTATTCACTCAGTCAAACCATTTTTCTCTACAACCCAGCACCGTCAATATATTCATCCAGCACATTTTTTTAAAAAAAATTAAATGTATAAATCCTTACTTTTACTGCAACCCAGCACCGTCAATATATTCACTCTGTAAAGTTTTTTAATTAAAATCTTAACATTTATTATTATACATCATTTCTTTCCATTGTTTGTAAATAAATTTGAAGTTTAGTTTTAATTTTGTTACTTCAGAGCTATTTTAAAATAAAAATATTTGAAAGATGGAAAAATAATTTAATTGTGAAATCTTCATTTTGACACCCGAATCTATTTAAGAAAAAATTTAGGTCTGAAATCTTTCATTAGTAGAATCTTCAACTTTTTTCATTTTACTTTACATATGTGATATTGGTGTCATATGAAAGGTCATAAAAAGTTAAGAATTTTGATATATTTTTTATAAAAATCAGAGTATAAATAAAAAAAGTTAAAACACTTTAAATATAAAATAAGATTTACATTTTGAGTGGGACCCATGTTATTATTTGATGCGGCTGCTCCTTTTTGCTTTCCTCCAGCGAAGTGTGAATTTGGTGGGAGTGGAAAAGCTCATCTAATTTCCACCCATGGGATGCCATCTATCCAGGCTTAGCCTCTACAAATACAAGGGTTGTGGAGTCTTTAGGAGTGAATAGATCAAAATTGCTTTTTGACCCATGGGTTGCAATCAGCCTTAGGGCATCTCAAGTGTCTATTATAGTTCCACCTCATCAATTGCACTTTTGAAATATAAATGTCACCTCCAAGTTTAAGTGATATGACAATTGAAAAAATAGACTAAGGTTTAGGACAAGGTCCATTTGTGTATCTTTGGGTGCCACCCTCTATAATCATTATTATGGAGCTTTTCTCTTTCTTATTTTGCTTTTCATTGGAATATTATTTTGATAGATCCTCCATTTTAGTTAAAATTTTGCTTACATATCAAGTAGACTCCATCCATTTTTTTGCCACTTCATCACTAATGCACTAAGAGCATTGGAGATGTTCTTATGGAGTCCTATGAGTCCATAAGTCTACTCTAAATACAACGAAAGTACTCTCTTTAGGAGTGAACATATTGGCTAAACTTAATCGAATCAAATTCTACCATACCATGTCAATTGTCATATGCCATTTAAGTTTCAAAGCATTTTACCAAATTGTGTTGAATTGAAAACAAGAAAAAATGAATTGAATTACAAAATCTGGATTAAATCAAACCAATCAAACCTAATGAAAAATATGGAACTTGGTAAATGATCTTCCAATACATTTCAAACTCAAGAAAACAAAACAAAAAATGATAAAAACCAACAGTTCACCCTTACATACTTCAATTTACATGAGAAATTGACATTCAAACTTACACTTCAAACAATTATACGACTAAAACATGACATGTTCCCCACATATGACTTGTAATTAATAAATTCACGAGCTTTGAACAAGCCAGACACCAACATTCAACAGTCAACAACCCTTCAACCGATGCTTTTGTTTACTGTCCTCCAAAGCGTATAGAGGGAATATCCGTGCTAATAATTTGTTTCTTTTGTCCCAGAAAACATTCTATTTATCCCAAGTCTACAGCCAATTATTCCAAGGATCTTTATCCCAATTTACACAATAGTGTTTGGAATTGAAAACCATTCACACTGGTACTCTTCTTCTGGAGAGAAGGGCGGATACGAAATCATCAATTGCGCGGAGGGAAGACCCTTTACCCCCTCCGTCGGCTGCTGCATTTTCTTCCTTCACGGCTACCCTGATCAAATCCTTGACTCGGCCCGCTTTCTCCGTCATTTCCTTGCTGCATAGCACAATATCTATCACTCTCTTTACATCACTCCTGGCAATATTGCTCTTAACTCCCTTGGTCAGCTCAATGCAGACCCCCAATTCCTCCGCCATCATCTTGGAATTGAAGGCCTGCTCTCCCGCCATGGGCCACCCGATTAAGGGCACCCCTTGGCTCAAGCTCTCGAGGCTCGAGTTCCACCCGCAATGGCTCAAGAATGCTCCTGTTGATTTGTGCCACAGGATCTCCAGCTGCGGTGCCCAGCCGTGGATCACCAGCCCTTGCTTTGGGCCACGTCTCTCTGCCTGAATACAAAAAATTGGACTTTGTAGAATTGTAGGTTGTACAATGTTTTTCTTACAGCTGCCCTTTGTTCACATTTTACAATCATTCATGGACGTGTAGATAATTTTACAAAGTAAAATTTTTACAAAGTTTGTTATACATTACTTTTTGGGATACATTTAAAAGATTCCTACACTTTCCTTTTTTTGTATGTTTATCATTTAAAAAATATTCAATTGTTCCAACTTTTTCTATTTTTTATCTTATCTTTCATACATTTTCACTTTTACTTTTGCTACACTATTAATTACTCGTACTATTCCATCCTTAAATAATGTGATTAGACCTAGGGGTGGTTCGGTACGATATACCGAAGATTTTATTCATACTTTTACCATACCATAAACTTTCGGTATGCAAAAATACATACCATTACCATACCTAAATTTCGGTATACCTTGTTTCGGTATACCAAAATTTCGGTACGGTAAGCTCCGGTATCGGCAAATTATCATGATTTAATATCAAATTGTTATATATCAAATGAAATATAGAAAATCAGTGTTAATAGTGATATACTAAAATTATTAATGAAATTAATTATAAAATACCAATGATAACCTATTTGTGTTCTATTCAACTTTGAACAAAAAAATATTATAAATATGTACGGATACTTCAACACATGGTATATGAAGATAACAACACATTCTGCTAAAATAATAATTTAAACAACATAAATATATTTGAAATAACATCGATCTCCAACAAAAAGTATAAATAATTCAAGAAACATGGATATAAAGTCATTATCCTTGAATTAATGTTGTGTTTCTAGTTATTTTTATAATTTTAAAGAAATCATTGACTTGGAATTACGGTATGACGGTATACTGTTTATTTTCAAAATATATACCGATACCATACCGAAGTAATTCAGTACGATATCATACCGTACCAAAAGTGTCGGTATATCAAACACTTCGGTAAATTCGGTATTTTTCAATAGGGTAAGTCTGGTATACCGAAATTTCGGTATTTTTCCCCACCCTTACTTAAACCTATTTTAGTGAATTTTAAACAGAGAGTATTGATTTTCGTATACGTGCAAAGTACATGTACACTAGCGGTTAGCCAATCAATGTCTTGCTTTCTGTGCACGATTTTCAATTTGTATAAATTTTTTTTAACGAAGTCTTTGTATTATGGTGAAATACTGAAATGTAGAGGGCCTGTCACGTGCCTAGAAAAAAATCTACAAATGGCATTCTTTCATTTGTACCACCAATTTTCTAAATATTCTTTTCACATTTTCTAAATATTGAATTTCACATTTTTCAACAATTTTGATTCTTGAGGCATCTCGCTCTCCATCAGTTGCTCTTCATTAGTCGCTCTCTATTAGTCATGCAATTTTCCAAACATTTATGATCCCATTTTTGTCCCCTCTTTTAAGGAAGGTGATGTTGAGTTGTTGACAACCCCTTCCAAATGGTACTCGTATAACATTTTTGCCAATTGTTATTATCTTTCATTTATAAGTCCATTTTTAACAAAAATTATACAATCGTACTTTGTATCAAATTTTATAACATTTTATGATTTCTTATATGATATCAATATTGTATATCTAAAATTTGTAAAAAAGACTGTTGTTAAAAGTAAAAACAAATGTGGACTTCACCCCTAGTTGTTTGTCCACACATGCAATTCATTATAAAACTGTCTTGCATACAGACAACTAGACATGGTGTACATAATATGTGTACAAAGTATGTGTACACCAAACATTTTTGACCAAAAATAGAATTGTTCAATTTTATACAAAATATGCAATATTGACTATTGAGTATTGACAATTTTAGTGTCGTCAAATTGGCTCAAAAATAAGAAGGAAAGAAAATTAAAAGTCTGTTTAATAACATTAAAATTGACTGAATCAAATTATTCTGTTGAAATTTATGATATTATGGTTGAAATAGCTGGATTAGCTAATTCTGCTGATTTATGGGGAAATTATATTTAAAATATTTTTTATTAATGAAATAAAAAAATATGAAAAACAGGTAAATCACTATAACTTCGGCCAATACAATCAGAAAGGTGACTTTAAACTTATTTTTTTATTATTACAAAAATTATGTTTGTTTGTGAAAAAAAGTTAGATAATAAACATAATAAGTCAAAACACAGTCTACAAACGTGTATGTAAGTAGGTATGAATAATTAGACGGAAAATCATCACCTGATTCTCTTCTAGAAACCCTTCCGGCAACCATTCGGATTTGAATTCCCCTTTAATGTCAAACCCAATGGGCGGCCTTATCACCCAGATGAACGCCTTCCCGCTATCCTTCAAACCCAGACCCAATTCCATCATCTGCGAAGCGCTTATGGTGTTCTGCGACCCGAACGAGATGTACAGGACAGATCCTTCAGATTGCTCATCCAGCCATTCTCTGCATTTCTCCGGCGACAATCCGTGAACCTTCCCCGTCCTTTTTCCGGCGATGTCCAGAGACCCCGGTCCGTCCTTCAGCATCGCCGGAGGGATCAAAGGCCCGACGCACCAAACCGGAAGCTTCGTGAAGCTTCGGAGCGCTTCCGAGCCTAACGGTTCGATTTCCTCAACGGTGTTACACAGAGATCCAAATGAATCTAAGCTATCGGAGACGAACGATTGGATGACGTTAGACCACGGATCTGTACCGTCTGCGGCTCTCATGTAAGGGTGGAGATGGGAGAGGTTGAACCGGCAGGAATCCGGAAATCCAGGGATG